CTCTTCCAACTCTATGATTCTATGATTCTATGATTCTATGATTGCCAAGCCTTTCACACTTTTTTATTGTTAATGGGCTATTCCAGTTGAACGATGCTTCGAGGATGTTACAAGAATGATAGGAGGACAACGTTATGTGAAAATCTTTCCCCCAATCGCTCAAGAATGATGGTAACAATACTCTTCCCTAACGCTTTTTACCCCGTGTGATAACCTTCACCAGCTGCTACATTCGTTCCTCTCGAAACAACGATTACGCTGCTCAGAGGGGAAGTCTGCAGTTAACCCACGGGGTTTTCCTCTGAAGCATGCTTCTGCATATCCTCTGTGCTTGAGTATGGTGATGTTCTTCAGATTGCTGCAAGAACTTCATGCCATTGAAAACCACAGCAAATCATTTGGTGAATAAAAATTCCAAGCCACATCCTGCACCAGATCTTAGGTGCTGTGTTAGGTGCTAATTTAGACCCAGGCTGCTTGCTGCCCAAGGGTTCCAGGGCATGCCAAAGTGTACAGAACTCCAAAAATGGACAAACGCTGCAACCTGTTGCATATGAGTAGGTGTTGGGTAGGGGAGAATATCAACTCTACTGCTAGCCTAGAAGAAGCAGAAAGACCTTGGAGAGTTTTCACGCCGTGTCATCAGACAAGTTAATGAAGCATAAGGCTGGCCATGGTTGTTATCTGTGGTTGATGTCTCTGGAGTCCTGTATCAAATGCAAGATTTCTCTGAATACCAGTTTTAGGGTACATGAATAGCGGGGTATTCCAAAGGCAGTAGGAAGAGAGGAAGGCCACATTACAGATAGATCGGTTCAATAAGAGAAGGCATGGCCCTGAATTTGCAAGACTCTGAGTAGGATTGTAAAAGACTGGGGCTCATGGAGGTCTCTCATTTTTACAGTTGCTTTAAGCCAAAGCTGCTTTGCTGGCAAACAACAGCAACAAATAGCACCCTTGTCTTGTTTGGGAAGGGTTTGGGAGGCCTTTATATTCAGCATGCCCATTCTTAAATATTCCACCATGAACAGTACTGCACTACATTGTTATAGTGCTATTATTCTACATTCACTGCCCCCTGTGGAATGCTGGGATTTGTAGTTTAGAGAAGGGCATTTAGAATTCTCAGCCAGAAAGCTCTTAGGCCTCATTAAACTACAAAATCCAGATTACCACAGGATGCAGCCACAGCAATAAAATAATGCTATAACAGTATAGTGCAGTGCTAATGTCTTAGGGCCTTTGCAGACTGCTAGAAATAGTGCAAATTGAGTCCACTTTAAGGGTTAGGGTTAGGGTTAGGGAATCATGGGAACTGTATTTTATTGTGGCACCAGAGCTCTCTGACAGAGAAGGCTCAATGTCTCAGAAAAAAACACCAATTCCCATGATTCCCTAGCACTAACCCTAACCCTTAAAGTGGACTCAATTTGCACTATTTCTGGCAGTCCGCAAAGGCAGATAATTGTTGGGCTTGGGTCTCAGAGCGCCCCCCAGGCCCAACACCCGGAATCGAACCTCGAGAATCCAAGCCCCAGCCCTGGCTCCCTCTGGCCAATGGGGCTCCATACTCATGATAGGTTTTCCTTAGGGTCACCATAAGTCAGAAATGATTTGAAGGCACACAACAGCAAACCATAGTAATGGAATTCTCTCCTATGAGAGATCTGTCAAACCCCCTCTCTTCCTGTTCTTAGGCAGGCTTTGAAAATGTTTTCATCCTAAAAAAAACTTTTTATGACAGATAGTTTATCATTTTACACTGCACTCTGGCCCTCCTAGGTGTTTTATAATTCTTTGGTAAATTTGTACATTTTAAATGGTTCTGTCACTATTTTTACTGATTTGTTTTCTAAATATTTTATTTAAAGCAAAACATATGTACTTAGTTTTTAAAAATATTGTGTGAAACTCTAGGGTCAAGTACAATGCCAATTCCTTACAATTTTTTTTTTAAAAAAGAACATATAATTCTTAAAAAGTTGGCCCTTTCCTGTCCCAGGTTCAGATTTCTAAAACAAGGAAATTTTAAAGGTTTAGCTTTTGGGAATCAGGGTCATCCAAAGTCACATATCAGAAAAAAAGACCATCTTGTGAAATGAATCTCTTCTTTAAATGTAAGCGCTATGACTCTGAAGAATGAACCAGTATAAAAGATGCAGTGATAATCAAACAGCTTGTTTCCCAGTGGGTTGTGCAAGAAACACTGAATGTCACTGGATTTTCTAATCTTGTGACACACTTACAAAGACTGTCAGTTTACAATGTTGGGTGCATGTGTGTTCTTTTCCTTTCTGAAAAGCTCTCTTCTGTTCTATTCACTCTGTACTTTCCAGCTTTGTCATGGCTGTACACTTCCTGTTAGACAGTCAGCTGGGGCTGTCTGACTGACTGACTTTGCCGAAGCAGACTCTCAATGGGATTTTTCCAGATCCACTAATAACAAGACAAGGCTGACCATCAGAACCTATCCTGGGGGAGGGGTTGATTTCCCCTTCCTCTCTGCCTCAGTCATTCATAAATTTTTCCTGAAAGTACTGTACTTCAGCAAAAAAGTAGAACAATCCTCGTTATAAGAACACAACACAAAGGAGTCC